ACGAACAGTAGACTACAGTAATGCTCGTCTGTGTGATTCACTTGACCCTCGACTGAATATTTAGCTGCTTCAGTATTGCATACAGCTTCGCAGTCCTCAACATAGCTAATATCGAACGTTTGACAAGGATGCGTGAGGATATGAGTATTGACGTTCGCATCCATGGCTTTGTGTACGATGACATACGTGTTTAAGTGATACGTTTTTTTATAAAGTCATTCAACCAAACTGAGACACACACAATCATATTTCACGGAAGTCTAAATGAATAACACTAAGACAACAGTATCAACCTGTCCCGAGAGAAGAAATTACATTTAATACACAGAGAGACAATCAACATAGAAGGCACATCAGCGACACTAGCGTGAAAATGCATGATACTTATTGAAAACTAATAAAAACCCCTATAGTTGCCAGTACACCAACTGACAATATCATTTGCTAGTGGTCGCTATACAAAAATATGTTTAGACGAGTAAATGTAGACAGAAACAGGTAAATAATAATAGAAAAGTTTATTATATTTCATTAGAATCTACTCTGAATTGACTGAACTGAAATCGCCGAGAAATTTTTTTTATCGAATTTTCTAATCAAATTCTTTAACGGGCAGCTCAACTGTTCTCATATTTCATTCGAAAACACTAGTTAGTCATTTTCGCTAGTTCTGATTCCTAGTAGACGTGTCAGATCTAGTCCATAGACATTATTCTCACGTTCTGCAACAACTTGAAGCATTTCTTCAGGGGAAGGCTTCGCTTGGTTTCAAAAGGGATTAGAATTATAACACAAGAATTCTTGACGGAAAATTCGGAAGCTCAAACTTGGTTGTGAATAGTTGCTTATGTCTTTAATTTTATTGCCTAGCTAGCTTATCAAAGGTTTATTTCAAGTTCTCATTAAGACAATCTTAGTGTAGTATTCTCCAAAAAAATCTAGCATTTATATGGATCATTTTTGGAGCAAACTAGCAGTGAACCTGCAATGTGAGCGAGTAGTCGTTCGATTATTTGAACGCATCTAAGCAATAGCTACTTTTTGTTTTCTAACCATAAAAATATGTGACATGATTTTTATGTATTTGTTTATATTAAGTTCTTCATGTCATAGTCATGAGAAATTCTACGAGTCAGAACTTCTGTTGAAAAACGAATGCGAGCAGACTTAGATATCGATCAAGTCGAATAGACGAACACTTGAATTTGGGTGTCAAGGATACTTTTTGATGTGGGGTCGGTATCGATGTTTAGTATGTGCTTGAGTGGGTTGATCTTGTTCTGCCTCATCCCCACATTCCATACTCACATCGTGGAAAACCCTTAGATATAGTTCACATTAGTGAGATTGCCAACTCTGTCATATTTCTAAGACATATGAATACGTTACTGTCTCAATATTTGCCTGATCACAACCTCATTTTCTTTCATATCACTCAATGTTCAATACGCCGAAAACTCATTGTTCTTCTGAAAAACCTTATACTGATTATAAAGTTACACCTTCAAACTTCCACCAATGTTCTAAAAATTAGTATGTCCTCACGTCGATTTAGGTTCATTAGCTTTGCCACAACCTCAACACTTTTTCGAAAACATCAAACTCAAAATTTTGAAGAACCTACTTAAGATTCGAATTCCCCGACCCCGAGTTACTTTCGTCAACCTTTTCAATATGTAAAATTCGACCAGAGATCGTAAATCCTGCCACCACTCGCTTACCTTTACTAGTTTCATTAAAAGGAGAAAATGGTTAAAATTAGAAAATGTCATTTATTAATGATCACCTTCCTAGACAATGAGAAGGCTGCATGTAAAATCAGAATCAAAGGTCGGATTTCACGACCTCAATTGCTTTCGATGAAACTTTGGAAGTTTCGCTTTAATAAACTTCACATCTGATGTTCCTTTAACATTGCCACAAAATATGCACACAAACTCAATTTATTTCGTATGACCTTCCCTACAGTCGAACGAATAAAATTAAGTTTCATGATTAATAAACTTTCACGAGTTACAACGGACGAGGAGGGCGGGTGGATCAGGTTAAGGCAACCATTGAGATGAAGTCGTGCTAGACGAGATGATAAAAAAAATTCATGAGAGAGGATGGGGTTGTCTATCAAGCCCGCTTCATATAGAGCGAACGAGACAGAGAAGCTGTGGTCAATGGCTAGGGCCTGCTAGGCATGAAAATTCTTTGTCTAACACACCGCTGGTAGCTATGACGATAATGTTTGTAATTTGATTTTCTTTGTTTTCGGATATTTTCAATTTTAATACTAACTTGGCAAGAAAATGGAACATTCAAGCAATAATCAAAATATTCAATTAGTAGACTTGAAAAAGAGTTGGTCAAGATATCTATTTGATTATCTTCAAACTCTTAATTTCTACAAGTCAAATTCGAATGATATTCATACAATACGTAAAGAACGATTATCTACTCATCTCTTTATTTATCTACTATTTATATTCATGATTGGCATAACTATCTATGCAGCACTTCAATCACGTACTATCAATGTTACGGTTCATAATCCTTCTGAAAACAAATTCAAAGAGATCTATGATAAATATTCTGATACTTTAACATGTCCTTGTTCTCGTGTGAGTGCGCAATATAGTGATTTCTCTTATGTTCAATTTACTGTTCATGAAGTTTGCAATAGTGAGTTCGTCTCACAGGAATGGATTGATGAAATCTATGGCACTAATGTTTCATTTATTCCACCAAATGATGTGCGAACTATATTAAGTCACTTTTGGCTATTGGTACGCTCATTCTGTAATTTAACAAATGCCTCTCTTATTGATGCATCCAATGAATTCAATTCAAACAATTTAGTGAGTCTTGTCGCACAACCCCAACAAGTAATAGAAGCAAAAATCAATACGACTCTCAATTTTGCACTTAATTCATCAATGATAAATCTTAAAAACAATCTACTCATTATACATGACACACTTTTGGTCAATGGAGCGATATCACGTTTAGGTACCAATTATTTTTTTTATATTAATTCTGTAACATTATCAGTTGTTCCACCATTTTCCATTGGAATAAATGCTACATATTTTCCAGATGGTTGTTCTTGTGAGAATCTTAATGGATGTCCACATTCGGCTGTTATCTTTCAATCTAATGAAACGTCCAATTTCGAAAATATACCAGGCATGATGTTCGATTGTTTACCATTAGATGCTGCACTTGCTTCATCATTTGAATGCTTTTATGATGCATGGTGTTTATCATTGATTCAAAATGTGTCGAAGAGTAATATGAAAGTACAACCACTTCATAGTCAAAGTCGTTTCAAGCATAGTACCACTTTAAAGACACTTTTAGACGAACTTATGATTGAACAATTCACGATGGAAATTGTATTTGCATCTTACTATTCCATCTGTAATCCTCAATATTGCACTTATTCATACACTCATAAATTCGACGTACTTTTTATCATCACATTTACGACAAGCGCATTTGGTGGTATTTTAACTGTACTAAAATTCATCGCTCCACTACTGATCCAACTAGCATTTTGGATACATGCATTGAAAAATAGAAATAATTCTCTGGGTGTTAATAATACAAATCAATCCATGAATCTAGGTAAACTCTTCTGACTTTTTCCAAAATTCTTTGAATGTATCAGAAGGATTCAAATTTAAGGTTTTACATATGTAGCAGAAATTAATTTCACATGGAAACACGAAATGCCTACATTCACTAGGAAACTTTGTTTTCTTTAAATAATTAAGACATTGGCAGATCTCTAACATGCCGCATTAGGATAACTAATATACAATCGATTCTCTGCGTCTACTGATGTGTGGGTTGTGACACCATTTCACAAGAATAAGCCTGTTATTTTTTCAAACAGATTTTCATCAGTCAATATAGAAGTACTACAATTTTTTAAGCGGTCTCTGATTATTAGATATCATCTAATGATAGGATATGTTCTTCAAATAACGAAGGAATGATCGATCAACACGCTTCAATGATGAGAAGATAGATCAAAGTGACTTTAAAAGATATATAAGACTACGAGTGACGTGAGTTATAATTTTTCCAAGAACTATATTGTTTCTCGCTTCACGAGTTGATGTTTAAGTAAGAAAAGCTTCTAGAACTTTTTGCATAGTGGTTTTAGAAAGAGATTTTTTGTAGGCTGATCAACTATGTGAAGATTTAAATATAGCTGAAACATGTATTAAAAAGTCTGACTGAGATATTGTATCACTTTATGAAAGTACCTTTTGTAGTATTTCCATAAATTAAAGAAGTCAATCTGAACGACTAATGAGAAATATATGACAACGATTAGACATACGGGCCTAATCGATAACAAATACTGCTTATTATTATCAACAGAATGTCCCAGAAATGAACTACACAAAAGAAAATTATATTTTTCTATTATAGTTATATTGAATGAGCCACTCTTTATTCTTGTGATAGAGGACACCTATATGGATACAACAGTAACGGCGAACCAATGGACCAATGAAATCGGTGAGACTAGTAAATAGTGTGCAGGTTGTATGGAGAACAAGTGGCATCGGTACACCGACTAAATTTTAGCGAGTCCCTATTTCAGTAGTACGTAACGCAGACTTGAAACTTGTGCATTCATTTTTCCATTCAGTAGTAGTCTATTTAAAATTACAACGATTTCCTCAAATGTTCGCAGCAGGTTTGTGACATCACCGAAAATCCAGTCAGCGAAACTCTAGAAATCGACGGTGATGACTGGTGTATAGAAATCAGTCGATGATGCCAGCTCTAAGCCGTCCACATAATAGTACTAACCGGTCATCATCATAAGTTGTCCGTGTTCCAATCGACATTATTGGTTTCTAAACTGTGAGAGTGAAACCATATAACCAAGTAAGCGATGCTAGGGATACGGTCGCTGAGAGAATGAAAATCTAGTGTCTTGAGACTTGAAGTGTTCGAATAATAATGGAAACTGGTCACTACGATAGACTCCATGTTCAAATCAGCTCTATTGACCTTACTGGTGTTGGTTGAGACCGTATTTCTACGTTGTTTGTATAAGCATGTTTTACATTTTGATATTGTTACGCTAGCAAGTGTCAGCTGCCTGAGAGTACCCGTGCTGGCTGTTATATGCATGCGCTTATTATCTTAATAGTCAAGTAGCTGTTGCATAGGAACAAGTTACATTGTTTCAAAAATTTGATCAAACATCATAGTAACAACATGTCCACGTACTCAATGTATACTTTTTGATTATAGACCTTTGCAGATAAGTTGTAATTGGAAGCAATGTAACTGAATTAACTTCAGTCATAGTACGTCATGGAAAGTGCTTACTGGAGACCGAAAATGAACTGAATCAAACCGAATCCGAACCGATTTAGAAAAAAAACAAAGTCGCAGAAAGCCGAACTCGATACATTTCTTGATAAGTGGTTTTCAGCTGTGTCGAGCGAGAACTAATTTTAGAAAAATAATGACTTTATGCAAACATAAAAGCGATTGATTGAACTATTATTTTTCTGATTGTGCTGTTATGTGCAATCATCAGACAATGAGTGATCGTTTTTTTTTCTGATACACTTTATTTTCATATAAAGTTGGACTTTCTCTTAACACAGTAACATTAATTGTGTTTATGACAATCAGCCGCATGAGCCGTGTAATTTAATTCAATTTTTTGCTTCACAATTGTTTTTTCTTAAAGCAAGAAACATACTTGTCTAATTAAAAATACGATATCATTCTTAAAGTAATTATCCTATTGCCATTTTCTCTTCACTCATATCTCGTAGTCGTCATATATTAATATTCTAATACGTTATTCAATCTTATTTGTTCTTTAAATATGTTGTCAATTGATTCTTTGATTTGCCATTTGTCAATTGAAATTTCCTCACTACAATCTATTTCCATTTCATCATCAGATCATACTTCGAAATGCATTAAAATATAATAAAAATATTAATGAAAATTCTGAAGTTATTCCAAGTCAGAGCAAACATATGAAAACAGCATTCTGAAAGACAATGGGTATTGGCTTCCTAGCCCAAAAATTAGATGATAACAATGAATTTACTGTGATTCATTGTTTGGTATCATGGTTGAAATCAGAGACAGAAAACGAACCGAATCGAACTCAAATCAGTAAAAATCGGTTTGTTTCAGTTTGTGACGCGTACAATGCGCTCTATTCCGGTGGCAGTGTATCGATGCTACGATGAACTGAGCAACAGGTGAATCGATAAACTGTCTTCACCGTTCCATCTCTAGACATCACTAACTGTTTATTCACAAATATAAAGTTCTTAAACACTTCTATAAAGGTACATTGACAGGCGGAATGGTAAAAAAAAGCCGAAATCAAAAACGTCGAAATGAAACAGGTCTTAAAAAAACCGTTGAATGCTGAAAATGCCAAAAAAAAGGTTGAAATGAAAAATGTCGAAAATTTTAGAACAACATAGTTTTAATTATTCACTAGTAAACAACTTTATTCAATTATTGAAAAGAGAAACTTTTTTAAAATTCAGACTTAGTGATATTCATGTGCTAATGGCATAGTTGCTAATGTTTATGGTGGCATCTGAGATACTACAGCCTTCTCTGTATAAATCTTTATGGTTGGAGTTGTTTCTTTCATAGCACGTTGTTTTACTTTAGTATGAAAACTGTTTAATGTCATATTTTATGGATGTTGCAAATGATTGTGATTGGAAGTGACCTTCAATACAATATCTTGAATGTGGTGTGTACGTAAACACCACATCCAACAGCTTGACAAACCCAACACTTTTTTGTTCAGTTTCTTTATTTTTTTAAAGACAATACAGCTTGTCCAGCTAACAGCGACCCTGCATGGCCAAAGTTGAAGTTCAGATTTTTCAAAACTAAAAATTATTAGTTTGATGAGCACATTCAACTGTACAAGGATATGACTCTGTTTTTTTCATTTGTTCTAGTTGGTAGAAAAACGAGGATCCAAAAAGTTAGGTACGAATTAATTTTACCAGTGTGCTTTGCCATAATGCAAAGAAAAAGGTTCTCAAAAGACATTCTAAAACGTTTTTTGAAAGACATTTGGTATGAAAAGAACCATTAATAAAGACGCTATATTTTAGGCTATTTGATACAATATCATCATCTTTTTTACTTTAAAAAATAGTCTCACAAAACTTCACCAAAAGAAGGATGAGTGCTTTACCATTTAGAGGATTTTTTACATTTATCGCTTTAGTAAATGAGAAATTTTCAAAGGGAAGTATTCATATGTAGATAGCTTTGGATGGGCTATCATGTGTACTTTTTAGAATTTTTTAAAATTTCATTCTTCAAGAAAATGAACAGTAGCGCACTACTGGTCATTCCCGGTTTTCATTAAATGAGACACGCTAGGCACAATTTCATTCGATTGATCACACTTTTCTTGATAAACTGGCTCTTCTTCAAAATACATTGTTTTTTCGCTATCTACGAAGAACTAAAAATTTTTTTGTTGAGATCTATAGTGGCACTTAAGAAATGATCTTTCTAAGCTTATCCTTATAGACTTAAAGTGTGAACGTTGCCTCTATTGTTGATAAAAGAATCAGCCAGTTTGCTTGGGTCGTAACGAAGATATTCAATTTTCTTCTCATTAAAGTGAGTTTTGGGCCATCCAGTACTCGTACTGAGTTGCTTGAAAATTGTTTAAACCAAAGCTTGTTGCATTAACTTAAAAGCTAAAAACAATCACTAAAACACCCTGCTGAGTGCGTTACCGAAGAGTTTTAATAATAGCTCCTTCTGCAGATAAGTTTTCAAGTAGCAGATCTTGTGGTTATTAAACCCATCATCTTAGCTGAAAGTTCAAATGAAAAGTTTTTTTAACGCACCAAAATTCGCAGGAAAATAAACTTTTTTGGTGGGTGTGACCACAAGAGGCCTTTTTAATGAGTGCGTTATCATGATTTCCTGAGTCTCTAAAACCGTGATAGTATTATCAAATGAAGTCAAAATTTCTACATGGGTAGATCCTTCAATTATCTCTCGACACTAAAAGTTACAGCTCTTTAATATGTACGACTCCGAAGTTATGAGAATCAGAAGGTCAAAAAAGGTGAGTGCGTTACCTGCGAACAAGCTGAATACCATAACAACTAGTAAAGGCTTCCCTTTATTTGAGACCAGAAAATGTGGATTACCATTAGTGATTGACACTTAATAAGTTATCATAAAATTCATAAGAAAAACAAACTTATGTATGTAACAAAAAACCTATTGCACTAATAATTCTTTTATTTATTGAGGCTTATCGTTACCCATACTGTGATCATCGCGTCATGCAATGAACAATTGCTAAAAATATCATGAGGTAACGTTAGATACCAATAGAAAAGAATTCAATAGTAAATTATTTATCTACGACATCTTTCAACTTTTCGACGTTTTATACTTTTGATATTCTCATCTTTCGGCTGATTTTTTTCGGCTTTTTTTTCGAACTTTTCCATTTCGCCGCTTTTTGTTTCGGCCTTTTCTATGTATAGCGACAGTTGAACTTCAGACTTTTCAGCTTCAATATATTGTCAACGTATAAATAATTATGGTTTTCCTAAACCTTATTGAGAAAAAATAAAAT